TGTAATAATAATATTTATTTTTATTTATTTATTTCACCGCCAAAAACTGGCTGAATATTGGGTTTTGCAGGAAAATGACTCCAAGAGTCATGAAAAACCTGATCTTTTGTTTTTATACAATTTAGTTTAGTTTAGTTTAGTTTGATTTTTACGTACATTGACAAGAGTAAATATATTCCATTAAAATAAATAACAGGTCAAAAAAACAATCACCAACTCAATGGATGGCTATATCACAGTCAATGTTGCTAAATTTACGATAAATTAGTATAAAAATCACAGTTTTGCCTCAATAATTCTATACATTTAGTAAGGATGTAAATACGATTTTTCAGTACTTTAAACTAAAGACTTGGCTGTGCTCTTTTCGTACTGATGAAATGAAGCTTGCGCGACTGGTTGAATTTTTGAATGGAACGGCCACTTTGTTTGCGTATTTGCACAATTGTGGCATTTGAGCTCTAATCTGTTTATCCATCAGATTGTCCTTGATCTTTAGGTAGTTAGTGTGGCGCAAGGTACGAATGCTCTCACCTACTGCTATATCATTGCGAACAGTAGGACAGTTTGCGTATCCATTCACGATATCGTAAGTAAATACAATTGATGCATTTACTCTCCTTCTTTCTAAAGAAGTCATATTCAGGGCTTCGAGCCGCTTGTTGTATTCGGTGATATTATACCCGTTGGCCACTGATCGATACTCTCTTCTGGCAAACTGAGTAAATTTCCTCAAAACACTCTCGATTTTGTCGATATGTACGGCATAAGTTGGTAGCCATACGACGTTACAGTACTCGAGATGAGACTGAACCAATGCGTAATATAGTGTTTTTAGCGTCTGAACATCGGTGATGTCGTAGCAAAATCTCCTGATAAAACCAAGGGCAGCCGTTGCTTTCGATGTAATTGCGTCGATGTGCTTGACAAAACTGAGCTTCTGGTCAATGATGACGCCGAGATCCTTGTGGTCCGAAACGCGCTTGAAGGTAAAATCACCATATTTGTAATTAGTATCGATGATATCCTTCCTTTTCGTGGTGATTGTAAGGACGGCGCATTTGTCAAGGTTCAGGTGCAAATTGTTTACGTCGCACCAAACCTTTAGTTTGTCGATGGCCCTCTGTAGCACTGCAGCATCGATGCTCGAGTGGATGATTTTGGCGATTTTTACATCATCGGCGAATAAGGAAATGAACACGTCGTCCATTTCGTCCACTATGTCGTTGATGAACAACAGGAATAGTGTGGGTCCGAGATGACTTCCCTGTGGTACGCCAGATGATACGCTGAATTCGTTCGAGTCGCTGTTTCCATACTTGACGAATTGCGTTCTGTTTGACAGGTATGATTCAATCCAAGCAAGAAGATTGTCTGGTAGATTGAACGATCTGAGTTTCAGAATCAATCTCTTGTGGTTAACTCTGTCAAACGCTTTACTGAAATCCGTGTAGAGAACGTCCACTTGCGCACCTGAATTTATGCCTCTCTGGGCATAGTAGGTAAATTCGGTGAGATTAGATGCAGTGGATCTGGATTTCATAAAGCCGTGTTGCTTTTTGGTGATTTTGTCCTGTATCAGTGACAGAAGTTTGACGTTCACCAAATGCTCAAAGAACTTCGCCACAGTTTGGAGCTTTGCAATGCAACGATAATTTTCAATCTTTGATCTCGCCCCCTTTTTGAAGATGGGTGATACACTAGAGCGCTTCCATTTGTCAGGAAATTGGCCAGTTACCAATGATTCGTTGAAAATCTCAGTGAGTGGAGCCGCCAAATGACTCGCACAGTTTTTCAATATCAACGGGTGCATACCATCGGGACCCGTACCTTTCTTTGTGTTCACGGCTTGTAGCTCTTCAAGCACAAAATTGATGTCGAGCTGGAAATCCTCAGTTTGCTGTGACTCATCGGTAGGCGATTGTTGAACGCCTTGAGACGTTGAGTCATCGTAGTTACTACTGAAGAAATTAGCAAATAGGTTGGCCTGTTCAGTTTCGTTTATTGTGCGCACATCACCAAGTTGCATGACTTTTGGTTTGTTGTCAGTACTCTTCTTCGAGTTTACATATTGCCAAAATCTCGATGCATCATGCTTGAGCGAGGATTTCATTTTCTCCACGTATGTGTTGTACAGTTCCGTGTTCAGTTTATCAAATTCTCGTGATGCCAAAATATACTTCCACTCAAAGTACGGTTTAAAGCCAGACCGTCTGTAACGTTTCCCTGCCTTATTTTTCCTATTTTTCAGTGTTATTAGGAATTTATTTTTCCATGGACACTTTTGTATCGACTTGACGATGTAAGTAGGCACAAATTTAATAATTGCATCGTCCAAAGTGTCGTGTAGCAAATTCACTTTCTCAGTGATTGTCCTTCCATGAAATAATGCGAGGAAGTTTATGCTTGCTAGGTGTTCATTCATACCTGCGTAGTTGGCCCGCTTGAAATTGAAAGCCTTTGTAGTGATATTGGCTTCGGTTGTGTCGTTTCCATGCCATTCAAATGTGGCCAATATCGGTGGATGATGACTTTCAATTTTTTTCTTTAGTGCGTTGGCCTTATCAACACGTTCAATTGTGAAGTTGGTGAAATCATTTGTAAAAAACAAATCCAATAGGCGACCCTTTGACTCATTTCGTACATGATTCACCTGATGGACTCCCATGCTCATGAGTCCCTGGATAAAAGTGGCCGTTGATTCTGGTTGAAATTTTGTTGGAATTAAAATGTTGTCATTGTCGCTATCGATTGACCATTCCACATGCGGCATATTAAAATCTTCAACAAAAATTAGAACATCTTCTGGATCAGATGCTATTTGATGCATGGCCTCTAAGTGTGAGTCGTAAATTGATTGCGGTGAATTTGGTGGAATGTATGCACAATAGATGTAGATAACGTGTGATTTGGTACTGGCTTTCACACAAACATATTCCAAATCGTCAGCACCGGCAATTTTAATCTCTTCACTGGAGAATTTTTCGTTTTTAGTCGCAATTAGTACCCCACCGCCACGTTGAAATAGTCTGTCCCTACGAAAAACGGAATACGAATCGTCAAAAAATTCAGCATCATAAATATCTTTTCTGAGCCACGTCTCAGTCAGAATTATCGTATCGTAATCGTAGGAAGAGGCGCCACAATAGAAGCGCTCTTCTTCGGGACAAATACTAAAACAGTTTTGATAGTAAATTTTTGTGAAGAAAGCGCAATCATCCGATGTGGCATGATTTACTACCATCTGTTGTGATAGCCTTGTTGATTTCCTGCGCAGTGATCGTTGAAGCAGGAGCGATGGTAATTCGGCTTCACTTGCGAGCAACAGCTCTTCTGGCACAGATTTGTACGTGCTTGCCGGCGTTTCCTTTGTGGATGCTGGTTCTTGGTGTGTCTCCAATTTGTTTGCTGGGCGTACGCCTTGCCAATCCCGTTTTTTGGCTTGGAGCTATCGATTGTTTTGTTTTGTTTCGTAGTTGGATTCGATTTCTCGGGTTGCTTTTTGGTGCCAATCAAGTTATTTGGCTTCATCCGGACATGAGAAGCGGATTTTCGGCCAATTTTAGGGGCTTGCTCTTGTTCGACTCAATTTTTCGTTCATTCTTACAGGCCAATCTTGATCGGGCTTACACCAATCACACAGCTGGAAAGGATCGTTCAACATACTCAATGGAAGTGATGTGAAACATCTGGCACACAATCGTGATGATCTGAATTGCTTTTCATTTCCTTGAAACTCTTCATCAATTTCCGCGTGCTCCGACATCGAACATGTTTCTTGATCTGTATTGGTGAATCTGCAGCTGGTTGGGCAGCTCCAATGGTAATGATGGATGGTTTATGATTTGTCTCTCTAACAACAATAAGAAATATTTCAGTAAAATTTCTGAAGATGAACAAATTCTATCTCAAATTCTTACCAGCATTACGGCGTCACTGACCCAATTGGACTCAATGGGATGAACGAAACGTAAACGTGTGTACTTATTTTCAGAGCGTTCCCACATGAAAGTATTGGAACCCGAATTTGTTTACGACTTTGTACACTGCATTGATCTCCCCAAAAACAATTTTGAAACATTAATTTCTTATTATTCTCTCAAGAAAGTAATTTGAATAATGTTTGAATGGATTCTCATTTTCATTTTATTTAACACCGCCGATGATTGGCTTGTATGAAAAAGAAAATTTGGGGGAGATACAGAAAAAATCCATTTCCCAGAGATTTGAATGTTAACCCTCTAGTGCATTAAATTTATCTAGGGCTGATAGTACTGCTACTTGGTTGACTTTTGGCCATAGATAATTGAAAAAAATATTCATAATCCTGGTTTTCTCACGAATTTATATGAAAAGTGACGAAATGTATTGATAGTGATAGTTTTTGTCAAATGCGATTGACATAAATCAGGGAAAAATCAAATCCATTGTTTAAAAAAAATATGTCTTATTTTGAAGGGAAATAATTTAATTTGTCAAATTTTCGTTTTTGCGCACATTCTTGTTTATAACACGACACACTTGATGAAGACGAATAGTGCAAAAGACAAAATTATAGAGGACACCTTGAAGAATAAAAATGCCTTTTGAAGCAATGTGATCCGACATATGGTCTACGTTATACAGGCGTTCAAATATTGCCCGTAAAAGGCGGTTGTATGCACTAGAGGGTAAAGACTAATATTTTTCAATGGAATAATCAAGGTCCACAATTACTTCAACACTATTTTCATGGTTATTTTGAAATTTAATCACATTTTATAGCATTTTACAATGTAAAATTAAGGAGAAATGGGAATTTTTTTATGGTTGTGAAGTATGAATCCAAATATTTTTTGCATTTGCTTTCAGAAGTTTCTTTCATGATTCAAATAGCGCGCTTTGCTCATTAGTCATTTTGAAATATTCACATTCTGCGCCGATATGGTTTCATCTCAACCAATACACTGACAGAAATTGTCTGTCAAGACGATGTTTTTTGAGACGTTGTAAGATGGCGTGAGTACGCAAGAGTGAGTGAGCAAGCAAACAGCATTCAAAGCCGTCATTTATTATTCATTTTATATATACACATATTTGCGTGCACACATACGTACGCTCACTTCAGTTTGTTCATTGTTTCTATTTCATTCTTTCCAATACATGCCCACATAAAATCCGTACATAGAGGAAGGCAACACACGACAACAGAAAAAAGTATTGTACGAAGAAATTTTTTCTCGATGCTCTCGGAGTGTGTATGTCGAAAAGAAAATGGCGAACTTTGTGTGTTGTGCATAGCTAAAGTTTTTTTTAATTTTCTAGAAAATATCAATTTGAGATTTTTTTAAATGCTCTCTGAACACAAGTTTATTAAAAACACATTGAACAATAAGAACAACGCTGAAATTGTAGTTTTCTGTGTCACACATGCTAAACAAAATATTTTTTGGCGAGAAAAAGTCCGATGGACTTTTGTGGAAAATTAAATTGTGTACACGATTCTTCCGCATTTCATAAATATGTATTAATTATGTTTTTCGAAGTCACATTACGTTCTAAATAAAAGTGAATATATTCGACTAGAGAAAGTTCAATTTATTTATCCAATAGTATTGGGATTAGGTTCACCACAATGGCCAAACAAATAAATATTTTAAATGACTAGTAAGCAGATATATATATAATTTATTCAATTCATTTGACCATAGTTGTGTACAAATTAATTATAACAAAAATTGTTGTGACATCTGAAATTATCATATCCGTGATAAAAACAAGAGGTGTGTATTAGTCACTTAATAACTAAATGTGACTGAATGAGAGAGATCAAAAAAATTTAGTTTGTGAAAATAAAACCAATTTTCGGAATGTCCCGACGATATGCACATTCGTAATGTAAGCAATCAGAAGAAATTGAACAAAAAGAAAATATACAATGAACGTCGTCTCAATAAAATAGGAGTAATCACATACTCAATTAATGCGACATATGACTTTTGTGTTTCACACATAAACATTCTTTCAGATTTTTGAATGAATTGAATTCGCTGTTTCTTTATCGTAAATTCATGGGTTTTGTGTTTTCTTTAAACTTTCAAAAAAGCCATGCATCAACAACTAAAAAAAACCAGTTTAAAACCATCTATAGTTTTGGGTTTAATCATATTAATATGTGTAAAATGGCTTCCAAATCATTGTTTGCTGCGATTGATTCACTATTCGTATGAGTTACTTATCAAAAAAATCTTTCTCTAATAATAATTATACATGATTTTTCACACTCTAATAAGTGCACAATTGCAACGATTACGAAATCACTTCTTCCCAGGAAATACACAGTGTTCTTATAAAATACATGAACGTGAAGATCAAAGTGTCATCGGGCATTGAATTTTCAATCGATATTACCAAATGTTCGAAATCATTTTTTTGAAATAACATCAAAGGTTTGAAGCAACAGTTTGAATATATGTATTTAATGTGCTAATGAAAAGTTTGAATGGTCCTTTCAACTTACACCTACCCTTTCACACAAATTACCAAAGTGGTTGGAAGTAGTTTCTGTGAAGTTTGCTATATTCAAAATGATATAAATAATGATTTCTGAAATTTTTTCGCAATTCTATGCATATTTCTCAAGATGTTTTCGTTCATTCTTCATTTACAGACCTTTTTGTCTCCCCAATGAACATTTATATGATACATAATAAATATATAAATATTTACTTCAGTATGCTGAGAATATCAGTCGCTTTGATACAATTTCCACTGTACTTCTTTTTGCACTGAATACTCGAGACCAGCGACAAAACAATGAAAATACAAACATAACAATCGTCCAATATACAGAGCTCACGCTCAGCTTAACAACGTAAAATACCGTCTATGTAATATTTATATACATAAATATAGAATGATTTTGCAAGTGATTTTCAAACAAACTTTCAAACGTGTGTGTACAATCATAGAGCTGCATGCAACTTCTTCTAGGTGTATTAGTTTTAAGTAGCGTGATTGTGTATTTAAATGGTTTTGGCAGCGCGTTGAAATAAGATTAGTTAATAACAAATAACTTAGAACTGAGATAACTCAAAAACGCAAAGATATTTGTAGAAGTCATAATTAACAATTGTTCTTTTTTTATGAAAATTCAAACAAAAATTGATTAAATTCACCATATGAAAGAGAAATTGGACTTTTGAGTAAATTCATTTCACCAAATTTGTTTCTTCTGAAATTGAAATAGTACTACACCTTAATTTGAAGCAATTGCATAGAAAAGTTTGTAATTCAGAATGACGTTATTATATTTACATATTTTGTATGACATACTGCTTGGGATGATATTTAGAATATTGACAATGTATAAACTTGATTTACAATAATAAAAAATCGACTTTTGATATTCACAGAATCAACACTTATTCACGATGAAACCAGGATAAGGAAGAAGAGGTTTTGTGGAAATACAAACAGGAACGCCTGAAAACATTGCGACAAAATCTTTTGAATCAAGAAAATGAAGTGAAAATAAGAAGTAAATTTGTGTGCGGTTTTGAAAGTACTATATTGAAACTATCCGATACTACTTTAGGTTTATGTTTGAATCCCGTAAAAACAAGGATTTTTCGAAGTTATTCGACGTTAATTGATGTGAAAAATGATTTATTCCCGATATTGTTTCCCAGTGAAATTTACTCATACATGTGTAGAAGATCGAATATAATCATGAAACTAAACTTGATTTGATTATGTGAAAGAACAAAAAGTGACTGAATAAATCCAAAAACGGAAACAAATTATACATTTTCGATATTAAATACTATTATATTTCTTTGCTAAATTTGTGACTTATCCGCATGACATCTATGCAAACATGTAGTACGAAAATTCGTATAGATTGCCAATTAGTCTTCGTGAATATAAAAAAAGTTATTTCAAAGACAACTGAACCAAATAGAAGGAAAAATTCGTTCCTCTAAAAAAAGTGAAGATCGATAGAAAAAATCGCTCTTCCGAATGTGGCATTATTCTAAATTCTGGAAAAATTATGTATTCCACCGGCAGCAACGATGATCTAAAAAGGATCAGGTAAGTTTAAAATAAACGTCATTACGTTTACATTATATATGATCCACAAGGGGTTCTTCAGTCAAGTGAAGAAACACCTATTTTTGATTACGAAAATATCCTGAATCTGATTAATAAAACCAGAGGTTGGTTGCAGATAAATTTATTTATATAAATTTCGAATATCAAATAAATTTATCCGATATTTTTCATGCGTTGTGTTGTTCTGACGCATTCGTAGCACATAAACGAAACATCGGCTGTTGTATTGGCAGCCAGCTATTCATCGCAGGAATGAGATTTTTGTTTTGTTCATTTACCGATATTTGTGAACAAGTCTGCCATAGTGTCACTAGATAGTATATATAAGAAATGTGCAGAGACGAAAATTTTCGCCATAGTTTTACATTGCCAATACATTAGTTATGGAGATTTTTATTTTGTTTATTTTTTGTTGTTTGTAAACAAATCTGCATATCTTTTGGCATTGTCTCTACACACTTCTTATGGACATATACTATGTACATTGGCAATGCAAAAAGATAGGCAGATTTGTTTACAAACAACAAAAAATAAACAAAATAAAAATCTCCATAACTAATGTATTGGCAATGTAAAACTAATTGGCGAACATTTTCGTCTCTGAACATTTCTTACATATACTATGTAGTGACACAGTGGCAGAATTGTTGACAAATAACAATAAATGAACAAAACGAAAATCTCATTCCAGCAATAAATAGCTGGCAAATGCGTTAGAACAACACGACGCATGAAAAATATAGGATAAATTTATTTGATATTTGAAATTTATATAAATAAATTTATGTGCAACCAACCTCTAAATAAAACACTCTGCGTATAGGGGCATAATTCCGACATTCTTTTTTTCATTCTTATATCATTTTGTTTGAATATTTATAAATATTAATCTATATATAGAATGGAAGAAGCGGAACGAATGGAAAGACGTGAGAGGGACAAACGTGAAAGGGCAAAAATGTCCTTAACCCAAAATCCGGAACCTGAACCTGAAATGCCATACTTCCCAGCACCTTTTCGTGTAAGATAAAAAATCAATATAATAAAGAAACGTATAAATTTTAATCAGGTTCCTATATTTCTATAGCGAACAAGCCCAACTGAGAAAGATCGACAGATTCAATCAAGCTTAGGCGATTTCCAATACTTGAAACAATTAATTGAAAGTGACTTAATTCATGGTTCACGTTTGGTTGGTGTGAGCTCATCGCAAATCCGTTCGCAGTCTTCTTTTTCACCACAAGCACCATCCTCGTCGTCTCAGCCCAAATCTCAGACGCAACCACAAATACCAACACCACAAATTCGAAACCCTGTAAAACAGGTAAAGTCTTTTTTAATACAACAAAAGATTTGATTTATTTGCAGTTTTTATATTTTATTTTATTTAACACCGCCAAGCTCTGGCTGAATATAATAGAGCTAATATGAAAATAATTCGAAATTGATTCGAAAACTGGAATATTAACTCGCCAATTCAATGGATTTCTATGACAAAGATCAATATCAAAATTTACAATAAATAGGTGTAAACATCACAGATTCTATCTATTATTCTGCGTAGCGTTTTTTGTACACTTTTAAAAACATATTTCCACTCATCCGATTTTACTCGCCCTAATACCATTGGAAAGGTCTCCGAATGTAGATGTGTCATCAACAAAAAAACATTCACATATGTCAAGTTTGATAGGAGTTATCGCCGTTTGAGTGATGACCTGTTTTTACATTGTCGAATCCGGACCCGTACTATGCACAGCACACATGAAATGTGTGGTACCGACCAGAAGGGCGATTTTCAAGCCAAAACGTGCGCCGCTTGCCGAGCGGAGGTCCTATGCTGTCACCCCTGCACGCGCGCTCCTTCACTTTCACAACACAAATCATCTCCACCTCTGTGGGCACAACCATTTCCGAATTTTTTCATTTATTTCAGAAATGGATGGTTTTTTCGCTTTTGGCTTGAAAATCGCCCTTTGCGTCGGTCCCCAGTTCCCAAATGGTCAAATTTCGACCGCTGGCGAGACTAGTAGGTATCATTATTTCAATACATATAGGAGAATGTAGGAGAACAATTTGTCAGAGATGTAGTGATATTTTGTGCCATGTGCGCCGCTTGAAAATGAGTTGAATCGCGTTAGGATGGATGTCAGAAATTTCGGTCATGACTCTTTCATGTTTAACGACATCATCGATCAAATGCCCCCAGACATCATGATATTACTGTTTGCTGATGACATCAAAATTGCCAAAATCACCAATCCACAACAAATCACCAAATCTCTCAGAGTACAGATTTACAGGCAATAACATTTTATTAACTATTACTTTTCCGCAAACTTCGTTTGTATGGAAAAGTATTGGTTTCACTAGCCAAAATTTCATGACATCTCCTCCTTCGGACCACTATAACGTCACGCCAAACTTCAAAAAGCACATATCTGTACACTAGGCAATGTAGATGGGATCAAATCCTATCGATCAAGACCTATCTACCCCCAAAAACATGTTGTTTACTATGAAATATGTGCAAAATAGCGATGTGCGTATGGCGTCGTCCGCGTCCGAGCTTTTTGTTCGCCGGATATCTCAAGAAGTTGACAAGATAATTGAGATCTGTAAAAGCCAAAAGTTTTGGCATGTCGAGACAAAGCTTCGAATTGATTTTGAGCCCATTCTGATTTACCAATTTCGTACCATAAGCCTCCGACTGAGGACCTGAAAAACCTTGAAAAATGACACTTTT